AACACATAGATGAAGTATTTGGTCGGAAGCACAGAGGTAACGCCAGTTAGTGCTTGGGCTACCTCTTGCAGGACCTCAGTTATTACATTAATAGCAGTTACTCCATCTCCATGCTGTAATTGTTTACCAGTTATTGCTATAAAGGCAATTATTACATTAATAAAAAGGATTGCATTGCTTTAAGGTCCCCTTGCCAGCCTCTGCTGCCCAAATACGAAGTGAAATGCTCTCTTGTGAGCCAACACCGCCCCAGCCCAGCTGTCTCCTGCCCCCACCTGACGAGAGCTGCAGACCCTGCTTGAAGACCACTGAAAAGCAGGAATAACCTGCACCTTCCTTCCCGCAGCCCATCCCAGCCCTGTTGGACCCCCTTGCCTGTAAATACCGACCTCGGTGCTAGGGCTGCAGTGTCCATGCACATGCAAAGGGCACCGTGAAGGCGGGAGAGATAACTGGTGCTGTGTGTGAGCTGCAAGAGGCAAAAAAAAAACCCAAAAGAGGTGCGTCTAAAGCCCCTATTCATAAGCCTCACAAAACAGAGTAATGAAGTGTTAGGGAAATTTAAGCTGGTGCTGAAAGTGAGTGGTCTCTGCTACTGCTTTTTCACTCAGAGGAGAGCTTTGCCCCTGAACCGTAATGCTTATGATGCTTCAGACATGGCTGGCTTTGCTGGGTCGTGTGAGTGATGAATATCACGGCATTTCGAGGTTTCTGGTAAATGAGGCACACATGGGAATGAGAGCAGATACAGATCGCTTGCGTCAAAGGCAGCTTTATCAGGGCTTGGTGAGATATCTCTTTCAAGGGCCTACAGCAATTGAGAAGCAATTAGGGTTTCATTGTGCTTCCCAGTTCGATTAAGCATCCCATAAGTACAGGCATGATCCCAGTGCAGAGGCATCGTGTGGTGCCAAAACAAAATTTTGGTGGATGCCCTGTCATCAGGAGCACCTTGGCTTTGCAAAGGGACATCCCGCCTTTAGAGATAGAGATGCTGCTGCAGACATGGGAGGCGCTTCCTTTTCCCCACGTAGATGGGTGTCAGCAGCAGCAAGTGGTTTTCAGAAAGAGGCCAAAAGCTACCTGTCTTTCCTCCCTCCTAAGCAGCACATCTGCTTCATGCTCTTCCAGTGGGGTGTTTGTTAAAAAGAGCTTGTTTGTGGTCGGCTTTGCACAAAAGCTTTTGTCTTTATCGAGGAGGCCAGGCAGGCTGGGAGGAGGCTCTACAGGGGCATCTTGCACGCGGCCAGTACTGGGCCCTGGCAAGTTGAATGTGCAAAAACTTGAGGGGAAGAAAGAGGGAAACTGACTGCCGTGCCCGTGGAGCCGCATGTGCACGGAGGGGGAGTTTGTCGGTGAAGGAGCAAGGAGATCTCCCGGTTTTGCCATACTCTGCCATGACCCTCCCACACTGTCCCACTCCAGCGCCAGGAAAAAGCCTCCCGGAGGTGCTCCTGAATCAGGGTGGCAAACACTGCTCTGCATCACGGGGGGATAAGTGTGCCCTCCAAGCAGCAGCGATTACAAGGGGACCCATTTTTCTTCTCCTGCATTCTGGTGCCAAGTGGACCTGCTGTCATTCGAACCACTGGTGGACCTTGGAGTAAAACCGCTCTGCAGGAAGCCAGCTGTTGGAAAGACTTCTGAATCAAGACTTTTGGAAAGACTTTTTGTACACTATTGAACAAGAGGGTGCTTAGCAGCCATCAGGAAGCTGATTTTCACTGTGAAATGCCCCTGTGCAGCTCTGGAACTGTTTCCCTTAGACATAGTCGCAATCTGAAAGCAGCCCATTTAAACCACCAGTGTATTTGGAGCAAGCGTTTTTGGTCACTCTTGCATTTTTTGTTTGTTTGTTTTTAAAGTAATGTGAGCTCCTCTCCCAGGCAGTACTTCCTAATGAATGTGAACCGTAACTGTGATAATCCATTTCCAAGACATCAGTTGTGCGTTGCCATTGCACATGCAGCATTGCTTACGCAGCTCAAAGGCCACAGTGATGCTTGCGTGTAAATCCTTGCACACCGCAGTAGCAGTAACTGCCTTCAGAGCCAGATTTTCCGAACCCGCCGCGCTGTTCCTAAGCTGCAAATATGGTCACTTCAATGCTAACTCCTTGACTGTGCAGATTCAGTTTGATCTGCATATGATATCAGGCCCACACCTGCCTGTAGATGCCCAACTGCATCCAAAATTACTTGCTGTTATTGTAGCCATGAATAAAAAGACAGGCTGGCAGCTATTAGCAGCTGCTTCTCTCTTTTTTTTTTTTTTTCAGTTCCTCCTCTACTGCCTCCTTTTGGCACCTGCAGTCTCATCTTTGCCACATAGTATGAAAACTTGGGACATTCCGTGTGTTCACATTTATGACTACTCTCAGACTTCCCTTGCGGTGCTGACAGCTCTGCACATCAGCTCTGTTTCTCAGACTTCCCTTGCGGTGCTGACAGAACATCAGCTCTGTCGGCTGGTGTTTCACATCCAAGAGTAACCTGGTCCCACACTGGTAAAATGGAGGTGTCCCTCTCGCGTAGAGGAGGTCACTGACATCATGAGTCTGGTAGCCCCTCCTGGTCATACCCTGCGCAGACATGTGCTTGGTTTTGCTCTATAATCCACTGATATTTGCTCAATAAAGCACCCCCAAAGATCTTCCGTTCTCTCCCTAGTGAGAACAGAAGCTGAATCTCTGTATCATGGAAATGCAGAGCAGTCTTCCAGCCGAGCTCATCAGCAGGTTGTTCTCACACAGAACAAATAGGGCAGTATGAAGGTGTTTAAAGTGAGGCCCTATCTTTGCATTAGGTTAAGAACTTGTTTAGTTTGTACCTGTGAAATCCATTTTTTTTGTTAAAAAGTGAGGAGTGGTACATACCAGCTCACAAAGCCAGATCCCTACCTGTTGTTTTTCTCATCTACTTCTGTTACCTAAACTTTATCTTGTATTATTTCTTATGATCGAGCAACGGCTTTATTACTTTCTGCCCGTGTGTTTTTAGCACCTAGTTTCTCAAGGTATGTTTCTAAATGTAATGTTTTGGCCTGCAAAAGGGGTGCCAGGATTTGATGCAAGGATTGGTGGTTTGTTGCAGTAGTGCTTGGAGGCACCGCAGAAATTGGGAAGCTCAGCCCTGATTCTGAGAGCTTGCAAATTAAATGCAGCAACTAGCCAGCGTCTGCTTGCTTGAGTTATTCTTGTGTGAATTCACAGGTAAAGTTGTATGAGGGCTAAGTTTGGGGGCTCCTGAATTGCAGAGACCCATCCTGCCCACCGGGACATGGTGCTGCTGTGCCTGGTCGCTGCTTCCAGTCACACATCTGTCTCCAGAGTAATGCTGTGCCGAGGGATAAAAAAAGGGAAAACACAGTGACTCTGCTTATTCTGGCTAAGCTTGTGTAATGGGTTTTCAGATGATGTTTTCAGTGTTTAAAAATCATTTTTCATTAAATTGTTTCAGTACCCAGAAAAAAAAAAAAGATTGCCTTACCAAGAAAAAACATTTCTCTTACTGAGCTTCATTAGTTATAGGAAATCACTGGATTAAAGTAGGGAGCAGATTAACAAAAATAAACTGTAGGAAGTCTTGTGCATATGGTGCTGTGTATGAATGGCTTTTAACCACTTACCCATGTGTTACAAAGAGCAGAGGGAGAGATTTGTCTTAGCGTGCCATAATTATAATTTATAGTAGCTCTGTAGTCGAAATAATTTTACCTTAATAGTCAGGAAAAGCCACAAAGCCATGGAGAGCTTCCACCACTTTTGTTCGCCTTGCATGTCCCACTCCGAGCTGCCATCCTGGATTTGGACAGCGGATGAGAGGGGACAGAGCTGAGGAGCCGGATGCCTCTCCCTCCTTGCAGGAGCTCATGCTTTGCAAACCTTGTACTGCACCAGCTTCTTCAAACTGGGCTCAGGAGGAGAAGATTACGGTCTCGGTTACGCAGCTGTAAATGCCAGCTAAGTCCCGTAAGCATCTCGGGCAGCACGAGGTTAACACTGGTTGCTGAGGGCAGGATTTAGCCTGGCGGATGCTGCAGCTGGCCCCGCAGTGGGTGCCCTGGCCCTCGTGCAGCAAATATAAATAGAGGTTGCCATAATGTAATCTTGCAGCAAAGGGAAGAGGCCACAGTGTCAGATTGATCGTTAGGGGAGTATCATCCTTCAGGCTTTGTCTGCCCTTAGGGACTGAAAAATTAATATTTCCTCTGGAGTTTGCTGAAGTCTGCTGTGTTGGTTGTTGAAGTGGCAAGCGCACAGAATACTTTCTCTGTGCAAATGTGTTGCAAATCACTGCGGGTAGTGGTAGACAACAGTGGAATAAACCACTGTGAAAGGGATCTGGAGTTGGCAGAAAAGTTGAAAAGTTGCTTATAAAGTGATAAAAAGATTAAAAAAAAAAGATTTGCAAGATTTGCAAAACTAATCTAATTTGCAAAATAAATTCAGATATGTAGAGAGAATGTTTTTGTACTTGGTCACTATCTGGGCTCCTCAGGCTGTTTGCCAGCAATGATTAACCTGTAATGTTATGCCACATGACTTAAAACATCCTTGACCTTCCCTTTTTCTATGTTGCCTCTCTCTGAGGTTTCCCAAATGTTTTTCACACCCAGTGGGAATAACATTCTTGGATGTCTGCCCTGGATTCATCAAGCATAAATCATTGCCCTGTTGAAAACAAAGTTTGCCCCCAAATCACAGTGGGCCGGAGGAGAATAAAACAGGAGTTTTGCCTCTGTGAACTTTTAACTAATTTTTATCCTTTTCTAGGGGGTATATTTTGTGCACTGAAAAATTCACGGAAAAGACTCTGATCATTTCTTCTTTTTTGGGATTAATACAGATAACTGAATCACCATCTGTGCAGGAGAATATCATCCCTTTCTCCTCAGTTCACTTTCTAATGGTGATCTCAGATTTGCAGACTTTGTACTTAGGGTATCAATAACGCAGCTTTGCTTCTATTTCAGAGTTCCCTGAAGAGAAGAGGCAGCAGAGAAATTCACAAAGAAAAAAAGGCATTTACCCAGGTATGGTTTGCAAGAACATTTGATTATGAGCAAAATCACATGATAAAACATACAATTTTTTTAAATGGATATTTATAGGACCATCAGACACATTACCTAGAGTGCAATTAGGCCTTAGTTGGCTCAGACCTTCCAGAGCTAATGTAGAAGCAATTTAGGACACAAATTTGATCTCTCAGTCGTGCTGCTTCTCAGGTTCCTTGTACTTGCATCAGGAGGTTCACGCTGCAGGTTTCCTACAGGCAGGGAAAAATCACCTTGTCTCACAGAGTAATTGGATCACAGCTCAGGGACCAACTAAACTTGTACACGGTGCCAAAGATCCTGGGCTAATGAAGGCCTTGGCACCGAGTGCAGTTCACCCATGGGAGCGGCGCCCAGGGTTTCTCCCCGCATGCGCGGGCAGCGGGCGAGCACCAGGCACCCACTCCATCCCGCACCCCAACTATCCATCCACTCCATCTCCCTCTGGACACCGATTTTATTGATATCCTCGTTCTATGGAGCTGGCTGGCCCATGGCAGGAGAGCCCTCGGAGACGGGGATAGGGTTTCACCTCGCGGCGAACGCGGCCAAGGGCGACATCGTATCTTCACTGAAACAAGATGGCGCCTGCTCCCCGCCCGCCTCGGCGTACGCGGCCGAGACTTGCAGCCCTTAAGAGCAGTTGGTTTGTGGTTAAAAGGGCAGTAGGGCGTTAGAGCGTGCTCACGGGGGCAGGGACGGGGCGGTGGGCAGGCGGGAGGCCGCACGTGGGCCCTGGGCTCAGTGGGCAGCGCGCTCTGTCCTATTCCCTGCTCTTGGGTAGAGAGACAAGTAGAGAGAGGATGGAGTCCTTGTGCTTGCTTTCTCCTGCCAAACCCAGGCATTAAAAGCAGCCATAGTTTGCCTTGGAAAGCCTCAGGAATGACTTGGGAAAATTAACCGAGTAGCCCACCCAGGGAAAAAGAAAATATTTACACAGTAACTCCGGCAAGCGCAAGATTTGTGTTTGTGAATGAAAACCTTTGGGGCAGCACTATGCAAGGTGGGTCTTGAATTTTCTTCAAGAAAATTCCATCTGCGTACTTCCAAATAATCCAAGAATATGACAAATCCCGTATTTTATTTACTGAGAGCTCCCCATGAAGATTAGCTGGAACGTCACATCCATTGCAGGGCACCTTGAGTAAACCCTGTAAAATTGATTGTCTCGAAAGTAATGTAAAGACAGAATTCTTAGTAGTGCCTCTCCGCCTCTGGTATTATTGAAGAAAAAAAGTTTTTATTCAGCAGAATGGCAAAGTGGAACTTCTTGGAAAATGCCAGGCACCAGGCAAAACACAGAGAAAAGTGCCTCTCCAGCGCAAGGTAGGAGCCCTGGCAGCAGCCAGACGCTTGGGTGCTGGTCCAGCCGCGCTGCCCGCAGACCCGCACCCCAGCGCTTCCCCGTCGCGTGCCTGGCAGCGCCCGCGAGCTGGTGGCGGTGGAAGAGATGGTGTTGGGCTCTGTCTCTCTTTGTGTCTCCTCGCTAGAAAAGAAATATCACCCCCGGGAATTTTTGATCAGCTCCTCATTCCTGTCACATCATTTACGTTGCATAATGAATTTGTTACTATTTCATTTCTTTATTGCCACATTCTACATTTGCCTAGATTATACCATAGGCTCTTTAGGGAGGGCTCTGTTTTTTTCCTTTCCACCTTTTTCCCCATTAACATCCCTCTGAGGTGCTACGCAGAGCTGGGGGGCTATAGCATGCAAATATTCACTCTCAGTATCATTAACTCCCATTTATCCTTCAGGATCTTTTAAAACCAATGACTAGCAGCCCTGATGATAAAACATTTTTGCACTGTCACTAGTTTTACCCTTTCTATATAGTCTTCCATATATATACCTTTCAGGAAGGTGTCCCTATGCTGGACGTGAAATGCGTTTGAGCTGTGCCAGAGCTCAGCCCCTGACATCCCAGCCCCTTCTCCCTCCAGTAGGATGCACAGACTGTACCTTTCATCTTTTTTTTCCCCCTCCTTTCCATCTGTGGTTTATCTAAAAATGAATTATTTTTAATTTCTGTGATTTCCCTTTCCTCAATTTGCCTTATATTTCAAAGCCTATGTAGGTATCTCTTACCCTCTTGTTGTCTCTACTTGATTTCAACTGATCAAGAAAATGCTGATATTTCTTGTACACAAAGTTTCAGAGGGACATATGCATGAAGGTCAGAGCCCTATTCTTCTGGCATGCTTAGATGTTACTGATAAGCCCTCCTGGCTCTGTTCCTTTGGAAAAGCTGGCAATGGGCTTTTCAGTAGTCACGGTTCCCTGACAGAGAAGCAGGGAAGATCTCCAGCTTTCTCACCTTTCCAAACAGGATCCATATTTTGTAGGCAAGGTTAACATCCATCAACTCTGTCATTTTGTATGAGGCTTGTGTTTGTTTAATGGTTTAATGTAAAAAAAAAAAAAAGTCAAACTTGTTTGTCTCAGTTCTTGTGAAAAAATAACAAACTCACAAAGGTCATGCTTTTTTTTTCCCCACAAAAAGTAACAATAAAGTGGTGAAATTATAAGATGAACTTTAACTGCATTTTAAATGAGTTAACTGCTCTGTTCTGCTCTAATAGCATCCTAACCCCACAGAAACGTTGGGTTTGCATTGCACAGTGATGCCGGACAAAATCATTAGGGCCCTGATCCCGTGACGCCCTGCAGCTTTCCTCGAAAGCTGCCACTTGCCATGAGTGCAACCCACCAACTGCTATCCTGCTAACTTGAAATCCCACCAGCATCAGGCCAGGATTCCCCTGTGAGCTGCTCCAGGTAGAAGAGTATCGCTAGAGCTCCTAGAATATCCTCCCGGTATCCCTAGAGCCCACCCCAAGGAGGAGGCATGCGAACAGGCTTGTCCCTTGCAACCTCTGTGTGTGTATGAATGCAACTGTCTGCAAAAAATGATACAAGAAATTCGGCAGTCATCACCGGCTTGCCGGGCTCTTGCAGCCAAAGGCAGCCAACAAATGTGGTGAGGCACGCTCGGTTATAAAGGAAATGGGAATAAGGAAAGTGCAAGATGCAATTCTTTTTCTGAGCTATTACCAAATAAGTGGAGAAAGTAGAGTTAATGGACCCACCTGCGAGTTCTGATTTTCAGCACTGATGTAGATTTAACTTCTCTGGTACTGTGTGTTTCCTTATGAGTGAAACCTGCAGCAGTGCTGGTAAATAATAGAAGAGAAGAGAGGTGTGTATATTGTGCAGCCCTGACCAAACATGATCTTTTAATATTACAGTCTTATCCAGCTAGAGCAGCTGAAGTTCAGAGTGACTTCAGCTGTAGCTGCACTGTTTTGCCAAGTTTTAATTAGCCACCGAATTTGCAATTTATAGTTAATAAGGAGAAAAGCAACTTGCAAATATATTTACTGTCAAGAGTGTAAAAAGGGAGTGTGAATATGTGAGAAAGAGATGAAGCAGGTAAAAAGGCCCATCCTGTCAAGACTCTGATTGTAATAGGTTACATGTTTCTGGATTGTACTTAAAAAAATCACATCATTTTTGCCAGAAAAATGAAGACCAGGGTCTTAGTTACTCAGCTGATTGCAGCTACTCCTGGTTACCACTGAGATGACTGACAACTAGCAACTATTTTGGTTATTGTTTATCTCTTCTGTGTTACTTACATATACAGATAGTTTTTGGACCACTTAGTATTTTAAAGCCACAACCTGCTACAAGGAAAAATCAGTAGCAAAGCTGACCGAGTTCAAAAATGCACTACCAATTAATTCTGTGCCTGTTTAGGTATTAACTGAAATTAAGACGCAATTAGCGTATGTTTAAACAGGGTAGGGGGAGATTAATCTTGATAACATAAAAGACACCATTAGCAACATGGAAAGATGTGTACTTTAGAAATTATATAATTTCCTCAGACTGCTGAGCCTTAATTAGTTTTGTAAATCTTTTTTTTTTTTTTTAATAGCCTGATCTGGGTGAACAATTAAAATCAATCATGTTTTCTCCTGATTCAGTTGCTGTTCTAGGAACTGTAACAAAATGGTGCTTGTGGAAGATAATGGTGCTACAGAGACTAAAAGGAAGTTTCTATAGATAATTGGGCCTATGTCCACATGGCCTCACAACGGTGATGAAATCTGCTGTCTGGGGAGATCGTCTTTCAAAGACTGCCTGCTATTATGCCGCTAATGCTGATAAATGTGTCTCTTCTGAGGCCAAGTGCCTGTATCTCCATGACAATTCATGAAAGTGATTCATGCAAAGAAATTGTTCATCAGCTTAGAATTTGCTTAACCTTGTCTCTCATGTCAGCACAATGCAGCGGGGAGCTTGGTCTCTTCCGTGAGATGCAGTAATTCAGAGTTCCCAGCGCTCCCTCTCCTCCCCCAAAAAAAGAACAAACTCTCTCAGTTAGTAGGCTGGTGCTCACCAAAAAATACAGGGTTTCACATGGGACGGGTTTGGATTAATGAGTTTGTTTTCAGTAACTTCCCTTCTAAACAGTTGTCCGTAGCAGAAGGAGAGCTCGCGCTCTCTTCCATCACAGTGATACCAACTGCAGTAACAGCAGTAGTGCTGCCTATTCCAACTGAAAGCAGCTTGACACTTGAGCTCTTTCACAATGTTGTGGAGATCCCGTAATTCAAGTGTGTATCATGTGCTGCTTTGCTCTGCAAAGCAACCATGCCACTTAGCAGACTTTGTTGTGTTTTTTAGTTTAGGAAGCCCAAGATTTGGGATTGTGATGAGCAACCTCATTTGACTAGTTAGTCTCTGTTTCATGATACTAAAACTGATCAAAGATATCATTAAAGTAAATGAAAAAGAAAGCGCAAACAAATCTTGGCACCCTTTCACTTGAGTACTGTGTGTTTTCCACAAAATTGGCTCCATATTTGGGGATACCGTGTATCAAGTGCCCTGTGCTGGCACTCTTGCGTCAGTGAGCGCTTGTTCTGGCACACTGATGTTTCTCTCTCTAACTCTGTTCAAGCTGCTTTTCCATCTGAAGGTGGACCAAGTCACTGGATGTGTCAATGGTGGGACTTGCGCAGCTCTGTCTCTGTACAGTCTGCATAGAGACAGATGCAGCTCATAGGGTGGAGGAGGGAGGGAAGATTTGGGAATGGTAGCAGTGGGTTGCACATTTATTGTAACTTTTTTTGGTGTGTCGGGGGGGATTGTTCTTGGCAGGAGGACAGTGCTGACTTGAAGTGCCAGCTGCAATTTGCCAAAGAGGAAGCGTCGCTGATGCGTAAGAAGATGGCCAAACTGGGGAAGGAAAAGGATGAACTGGAACAGGAGCTCCAGAAATATAAGTCCATCTATGGAGATGTGGACAGTCCCCTCCCGACCGGAGAGGCCGGGGGCCCACCTAGCACCAGGGAGGCTGAGCTGAAGCTTCGCTTGAAGCTGGTGGAAGAGGAAGCCAACATACTGGGCAGAAAAATAGTGGAACTGGAGGTGGAGAACAGGGGGATTAAGGCTGAGATGGAGGACATGAGGTGCCAGTATGAAAAGGAGTGTCTTAGCCGGGACCACATTTCAAGCATTCCTACCTCGCCGTACGGCGACTCTGTGGAGTCGGCCACAGAGCTGCGCCGTCACTTGCAGTTCGTGGAGGAGGAGGCAGAACTGTTGAGGCGGTCGATCTCCGAAGTCGAGGATCATAACAAGCAGCTCACAAACGAGCTGAGCAAGTTCAAGTTCGAGCCAGGCCAGGAGCCTGGCTGGCTGGAGGACACGGCTTCCAAGTGCGGCGGGCCCCTGCAAGAGGAGCTCAAATCGGCCCGGCTGCAAATCAACGAGCTGAGCGGGAAGGTGATGAAGCTCCAGTATGAGAACAGGGTCCTCATGTCCAACGTGCAGCGCTACGACCTGGCCTCACACCTGGGCCTGCGCACCTCCAGCCCCAGGGACAGCGACGCCGACAGCGACGCGGGGAAGAAGGAAAGCGACAGCGAAGAGGGTCGCCCGCCTCAACCGAAGAGAGAGGGGCCCATTGGGGGTGAAAGCGACTCGGAAGAAGTCTACGAGAAGACTTCGGGCTTTGGGAGCGGGAAGCCCTCTGAGGTGAGCGAGCTGTGCTCCGCCGAGCTCCTGAGAGTGAAGGAGGACACGGAGTCTTTAATCAGCATCAGGCGCGAGGCGGAGCGGCTCGAGAGGACGGTGGAGCGCCTTATCACCGACACAGACAGCTTGATCTACGATGCCAAGGTGCATGTAGCCAGCAGCCCCTCCACAGAGCAGGATTTCAGAAGCGGAGAGGTAGAAAGAGGAGACGAAAGACGCGAACCAGAGCTCCTGGACACCGTCAATTCCCGGATGAAAGCTTTCCGCAAGGAGCTGCAGACCTTCTTGGAGAAGGTCGACCACATCGGGGAGGGCCTTAAGGAGCAGATGGAGGACCTGTCTCCTCTTCCCCACCTCACAGAGTCTTCCAGTTTCCTATCCACAATGACGTCCATGTCCCGAGACTCTCCTATCGGGAACCTGGGGAAGGAGCTGATCACTGACTTCCAGGTAAGTGGGCCCGTCCTCTGCCTTCTCTCTCCTATCGTTTCTCTTTCTTGCTGGCATTGCTGCCCTAGAGCTGATTTTCCTCCCGGCTGCTTTGTTATGATTTCAGACCTGCGGTGTATGAGCGTGCGGAATGTTAAACAAGCACTTTCCAGGTTTTTCTTTGGTTTGTTTGCACAACTCCTTTGATTCAGGGGTGGTTCCTCATGGCGAAAAGGCTAATCCACCGGTGCTGTAGAGATGTGTCTCCTTCTTTTTTACTCCTAACAGCAGCGTTTCCCCATGAAAGAAGAGATTAATTAAATATATATATATATACATATTTAGTAATGAAAGTAATTTTAGCACCCTTGCTGAGAAATGTGCAGAGGTCTTTATTATGCTCTCTCTTAAAAGGGCCAGGCGTGCTCTCAAAAGCCTTGCCAAAAGGACCCCACCAAAGCAGTTTTCTAGGCGGTGTGTTTTGACAAGCCTGCTTGCAGCTCACTCCCCTAACGGAGCAGCGGGTGAGAAGCACAGTAGCCAGCGAAGGACTGCCCTCCCCAAAGCACTGCCAATGGGCGCATGCCTAAGCCGCCACAACTGCCACACTTGGATATGGCTTTTCTGCACAGCACAAGTAAGGAAGGAAGAGCCTTGTATCCCGCCGTATCCTTCATGACTTGTATGCTTGCTGTTGGTTTGACTCATGCATCCTCATTGCATGCGCCTCATAACCAGTGTTTGCATTCTTTTTTCCTCTCTTTCTCTTTTTTGCTTTTCAGATGTTTCAGCCCATCATTTTGCTCATCCTCATTTTGGTTTTGTTCTCTTCACTTTCTTATGCCACTGTATTTAAGTTGGTTTTTCTGTTCACGCTTTTCTTTGTCTTGTAGTTTTTCAGTCGTCTACCTTACCCATTTTTTGTTTTCTTTATTCCCTCCTGTCCTTTTTTGTTTTTTTGTTCTAAACCGCCCATGCACCTAACAGTCCAAACTGAGAGATCAGATGGAGTGGCAGCTCAAACGAGATCGTGGAGAGGAGCAAGAGATTCACCACCAGCGAGCCACCACCGACCCACATCGCAGAGCTGATGGAGACATTAAACGCTACAGGCCAGGAGACAAGGGCTGTTTCAGTCTAGAGGTCAGCAAAGCAGCCCGTCTTACTCACTGCCTCCTGCTGCCCTAGCCAGGATGTGAGCAAGAGAAGCCAGGGGCTGGGGGAGTAAATTGGACAGAGCACAGCACCTGAGCTGTGCAAGTTTTGGTGGCCTCCTTCCCCTTCTGCAGTTTCATAGGAGCAAATGTGCTCCTGAGTAGGACCCTGCTCCCAGTAGCCTTGCTTAGTGGAAAAAACATGTGGCTCAGGGATGACATGCAGTTAAATGTAGCAGCAAAAAATAAATAAATCTGGAAGAGGTTTTATTTCCTGCTGCCACACATGTGACTGCAGGTTCCACCTTGTTAGATTTTTCAAATCTGAGGAGTCTACAGATAGAGACCTCTCCGCATGTTGCCTGGCAGTAGTGTGCGCGGGAGAGCGTTTGATGCTGGCGTGCATGGTAATTCTCATCAGGAACCACGGCACCCTGCAGCTTCCCAGAAATACCCATTTAAAGCAGAATCTTCCATTGCTGTGGCCGTTGAATGGTTTTCCATTTGTCAGAAGCATTGATCAGCTTTTATTTAAATCTTCATCCATCCTGAGGCCATATCAGCCTCTGTAAACGTCTTTTCAGCTGGTTTCTTAGGAAGATAGATTGTCCAGACACTACAACGGGTCCTGAAGAAAGCAATTTCTAGTCTGTCTGCTACAAAGGCATTTAGGCTACATAGTGCATTTAAAAGCTTTTCTGCTGGCCACTGCAAAATCCAACTTGAAACTATGGTAGTTAGAGTTTCCTTTGGGGGCCAAATTTAAATATGTTTTTAATTCAGAAGGCACACACAGAGGCCACAGGGTATCTGAAACCACTGATATTGTCTGGAAAAATGAAGAAACAGCTGTGTTTGTGATTAAGCAATAATAAGCATTAGAAAGCAGAAAGAAGAGAAACCATCAGGGTGGCTAGTAGCCAAACAGCTAAATTCTGCATTGAATGTCAGAGGGAGAGTGGCTCTTCATCTTAACACAGGTAATTCCCTGCTAATTTTGTTTAGTCTGCTTTAAAATGTCCTGAAAGTCCAGAGATTTGGTAGTGTTGGAATAATTAATGCGTGCAGCAGCTTCTCTTCCACTTTTCAACTTTTAACAGTGCCAGTAAACCTCAGAAAGGATATCTGATAAATCCAGGACACAGTAAGTCCTTCACTGAAAGGTGAAGTCTTTCCTCATATTAAAAACGGGCAAATGAGGTAGAGAAATCTTAATAGTTCACTGTGGATCTTTCTGCAGTTGGCTTGATCAATAGTGTAGATTAGGTCAGAACCAAGGCAGATGTTTACAGTATTTTTGTTTAAATGCTCTCATCTTTATTAACAGCCTCACTTTTGTATTGTCCTGTATTTATGAGCCCTCTGTTTATTAAGACAGGGGGTTGGGGTAACTTTGGCACAGGCTGTGTCTTTCCTCTTCCAAGAGGGGATGATTTGTAAACTCGTACAGTAGAACAGGAGCTGGCCAGCTTTCTCACCAGAGCCTGAGAGCGAACAAGCCCGTAATTGTAACCAAAGGTAGACAATATCCAGATGAGGTCCAGATGTTCTCAAAAAGTGAGCATGGATGGGGCTCATGGCCCAAACGGAGAATACGTTTAAGATCTTTGGTTCAATCACATTTACACAAGCAGCAGAGTATATTACTTTGCTTTACACTGAAACATTTCAGTGGGTCAGCAACCATTTAATACCGGTACAATTCAGCCCAAATGAGGCAGAAGAGTCTTGCAAATACTGTTTTGTTATCTGTCTCATTCTTTTCTTTTTTGACTTCAAACATTTCTACAGCAAAAACTGCCATGATTTTTTGTGCCAGATGAATGAGCAGAAGAATATATTTTTCAAATTCCAGTGGGTTCTTTTTATTACCGCAGAAATTTCAGATGAAAACTCAAATCATTCCATTCTCACAGCAGAAATGGCTGCAAGGAAGCTGCTATCTGCTTTAACTTATGAAGTGAAAATATTCACACTGTCCAATATTGATGGATGTTCTTTTTACTATGCGTGGACTTTCAGTGTGAGAAGAACACATTTCACTTCAGTTGAGCAAATGATTTCTTTATAAACAAAAAAATCTATTTTTTTCTTAGTACATTTTCTCCCAAGCTGAATTTCAAACGCAAAGTTTCCCAAGCAGTGCTGAGCAGTTTCCATTCAGCCATTTCCCCTCCTCCCTGTTTTTAAAATGAGCATCGCAGGAGCCTAATTGTTTGATTAAATACAATAAATGCAGGCTGACTTGTGCTTGAAACTACCCTGTAGCCTAACTGTAAACATCTGCGTTTGTTTGCTCTTTGCACTGCAGTTGTTAGTGCAACAGTATTATTAGAATGCATTTGCATGTTAAAGAGGTGGGTCAGAGTCACAGTCCAAGGGAAATTTTATCTTGAAATTGCCCTAAGAGCAAGGCTTTGTTTTGTGGCTGAAACAAGCCATTGAGCTGAGGCTGGAGCCCGTTGGGGTGGATGATCAATACATTATTCATGATTTCAGCAGAGCTGGGCTGGGCAGGGAGGGAGAGAGCCGTCTTTACCATCCAAAGAAAAAGTGAATAAGCAAGCAAGAACTGCCATAACTAAAGGACATGGAGGAGCTAGAAAAGGTATCACAATGTTTTATGGAGCAAACGCTCGGCACAGAGCGGATTACTATGGCAACAAGTGGAAACCAGTGGAAAACTGGTAAATAATTTTTCATCTGGTGAATTTTATCCTTTTTACTAATACAATATCCGTTAAAAAAATCTTCTTTAAAGCAGGCTGCAATTTCCTCCTGTTTATTGAGGGACAGTAGCCATTCTGGAGAAGAAAAATTTTACACTTTCAGACAACCAAGCACAGATTATTGCAGTGTTTGATACCAGATGTCCTAAAATCTAGCTGTATTGCTTAGTTCTGGTTGTTCAGTCACAGGGTGTTGCTTCTGTCCTTACCTGAATAAGCATGTATCACCCAAGGCACATATCTTCATCCATGCATTTCAAATTTGGATAATGTGATTATTTTCACACACAGCTTTTAAACATTTGCACATCTATTTTTGTGGACAGAAACACCACAAAATCTCCATCACTCCCATGCTGTGGAAAGTAAACATGCTGGAATTGCTGAAGTAACTTAAAGGGAACAAGTCGTCACTAGAGAATTAAAATAAAAGCAGATAGGCTGAGGAAGGTGAGAGCATGTCTTAAAGTTCGCCATACAGTCTAGTCAAAAGTAGGCAGCTAGAGCTCACGAGGAAGAGTAATTTCCTGTAGACCATGAACAAGTTGTTTATCTATTTTTCGTACTTACTCTGCCCATAACAAATGTAATGCAGCTCTATTACTGTAAATTAATTTCTGGGTTAAATGTGGAACAACCAGATACCGTGATGTCCAAGTTAGGTAAGTCCTTTTGTCACCTGCTTTGAATCTGTATCAAATCTTGTATGTGCTTCCATTTGGACGTGTTGGGGAGATTCCAGTCTGTCGTCTGACGGCTTTAGTTGAAGCTGATTTTAGAGTGTCTGTGTTTCTTCTGTGCAGTTTTTCCACTTGAGAGCTTTTC